TCCCTCCCTCCCTCCTTTCTTTCTTTCTTTCTTTTTTGTTTTTTTTCGAGACAGGGTTTCTCTGTGTAGCCCTGGCTGTCCTGGAACTCACTCTGTAGACCAGGCTAGCCTTGAACTCTCGAACTCAGAAATCCGCCTGCCTGCCTCTGCCTCCCAAGTGCTGGGATTAAAGGCGTGCACTACCACCGCCCGGCTCTTTCTTTCTTTTTAAGAGAAAGAAAAAACATCTTTAAGTCTTGTGGGTAAAGGGAATTAGGAGGAGTTGGAGGATGGGGAAATATTATAGAAATATACCATGCAAGATTCTCAAAGAATAATTAAAAACTAAAATATTTCCAATAAAATAAAATGGCCCATTGAGACAGAAGTAGAATTAGGCCCCAAACTCTTCTCTACACCATTAAGGAAGCCTGGTTTTTAAGCTTGATTTTGTAATTTATTGCCTTTTGGATGACTCCCAGCCTCACATCACCATGGGTCTGAGATAATACAGCACAGTGAGTGTATTTTTGTGGAGAAGATACAAGAACTTTGAGACTTTCCATCACCATGTCATACCTAATTGACTTGAGGGCTTCATTTACACTGATGCTCACCTACAAACAGAGGAAATAAAAATACACTTTAGATCTAAAATGGCTCCTGGGACACCAGTGAAACAGCAGAAAGGAACCGAGGCCAGGGTGCGATGGCTGCTTCCTCTGTCTTCATGGAAGTCCTCACAGGTGATGATACTACCCCCACTCCTCCTGAGCTACCTCATTAGGCAGGGCTTTCACTGGAGCATGGCAAGAGTCTGGTGAGATATGATTGGCCAAGGATTAGAGGCTTGAGATTGGCTCACCCTATATAAACTTATGGGCTTGGCAATAAACTAAGATCTGCATCCTGGGATTCATCGCATGACTCTCTTTCTGAATCCCCATCCTCGGTCCTGTTCTCACATACACCCAGAACATGTCAGACCATTCCAAACATCAGAGAAGCTCTGGGCAATATTTGAAAGGATTATAAGAAATGAACTTTTAAGTAGCTAAGTATCTTCCAGCAGGCACATCACCTACATACATATATTATTTGAAGGCAGTTAGAATGAAAAGGACTCCAGAGCAATGCACTATGGGAGCACAGATGAACAGAGAAACTTCTGTTTGGGAGGAGGACGAGGGAAAATACTTTTTAAATGTCATAATTATTTTATTCTTGTATTTACATTTTTGTTGTTGTTGCTGTTTTGGACACAGGGTCTCATGTAGGTCTGGTTGGCCTTGAGCTCTCTTTGTAGTTGAGAATGATCTTGAACTCCAGATTCTCTTCTCTCTGTTTTCCAAGTCTGAGCATATAGACATGTATGACCCTGGCCAATATTTGGAATGTTTTTAGAGTGTATGACACATGAAATGTTTTTCAGCATTTCCAGTGATAATTATGAAGGAACAGAAAATCTTGACATATAATCTTCAGTAAAAATGGCGTAATACTAAGTACTTATTATGTACTTATACTCTTAAAGCACTTCAGTGTTTTAAAGTGAATGTTTGATTTCCTTTTTTCAGAAGGGTTGCTGAGATGCAAGAGATATGGACCATGTTTAGGCAACAGCATGTAAATGGGGTTTGCTTGAGTGAAACATGACCAAGTGGTGAAGGATAGGAAAGTTTGATAGATCCAATTAATAGAGAGCTTGGGAAGGCAGTGGTTAGGCAGTGGATAGGCATGGCTTTCAAGCAGTGAGGTGGGGACAATGTGGAGGATGAGTTCTTACAGTATAAGAACCAGCTGCAGCATGGGTTGAGGTAGAAAAGGAATGATGTATTAGGGTTTTACTGTTGTGAACAGACACCATGACCAAGGCAACTCTTATAAGGACAACATTTAATTGGGGCTGGTTTACAGGTTCAGAGGTTCAGTCCAGTATCATCAAGGCAGGAGCATGGCAGCATCCAGCCAGGCATGGGGCTGGAGGAGCTGAGAGTTCAGCATCTTCATCTGAAGGCTGCTAGAAGAAGACTGGCTTCCAGGCAGCTAGGATGAGGGTCTTAAAGCCCATTCCCACAGTGACACACCTTCTCCAACAAGGCCACACCTCCTAATAGTGCCAGTCCCTAGTCCAAGCACAGACAAATCATCACAAGTGAGATGAGGGAACCAATAAAAAGGGTTACTACAGTGGTTCAGGTGTGCTCCCCAAAGTTCATTCTGGAGACTTCTCCAATTGGGGTTCTATTGCTGTGATGAAGCACCACGACCAAAAGCAAGCTGGGAAGGCTTACACTTCCACCTTGTAGTTTATCATCGAAGGAAGTCAGAACAGGAACTCAAGCAGGGCAGAAACCTAGAGGCAGGAGCAGAAATAGATAGAGGCCATGGAGGGGTGCTGCTTTGCGTAGCTTGCTCTGTCTTCTTTCAAATACTACCCAGGACCACCAGCCCAGGAATGGCACCAATTATAAAGGGCTGGACCCTCCCCCATCAATTAGGTTATGACTAAGAAATGCTCTACAGGCTTGCCTACAGCTCCATCATATGGAGGCATTTTCTTAGTTGAGATTCCCTCCTCTCAGGTAACTAGCTCAGTGTTTCTCAATCTGTGGGTTGCTACCCCTTTGGGGGCTGAAAGACCCCTTCACAGGGGTAGCATATTAGATCTCCCGTATATCAGCTAGTTACATTATTATTTGTAACTAGCAAAATGACAATTATGAAATAGCGATTAAAATCAGTTTTTGGTGGTGGGTCACCATAACACAAGGAACCGTATTAAAGGGTCTCAGCATTAGGAAGGTTGAGACGCACTGCTTTAGCTTGTGGTCAAGCGGACATAAAACTATCCAGCGCAAGAGCTGATGAGGTTTTATAGACTAGTGTCCTCAGAATGGATTGGTACTGAGTGGGTTAGTTATCACTGGAGTCCTGATAAAAGAATTGCATTCAGCGCCATTCCTTCTTTGCCTCAGGTCTGTCCTCTCGCCCTTTACCTCCAACCAAGGAATGATGCAGCAGCAAAGCCCTTACCAGAAGCAGGCTCTTCAGTTTTAAACCTAACAGTCTCCAGAGATGTAAGAAGTAAATCTCTGTTCTTTATAAAGTACCCTGTCTTAGGCATTCTGTGATAGAAACAAAACAGACTGAGACGTCCACACAAAAGATACTCATAGTCTAGACTGTTTTCATGGCAGAGGAAGTTAAAACGGAGCAGTGGAAATGAGAGGGGTGGTGACTCTTATCAAAATGACTTGTGAAATGATTGTACTAGGGAAGAAGTATTCAAAAGCAGCCCTGAAGTTCTGTCCTTGAGAAGTCAGTGTTCTCTTTAAATGTGCTGTGTGTGAGGTATTTGAATTCATCGCTTGGATAACAACAATAATGTGAAGGGACTGTGGACAGTAATCAAAGACAGTGAGACACTATGGAACGGTCCTCCTACTGGGGATATGTAAAGGATGAAAATAAATAAATTCATTAAAGTGAAGAGATTTTTTTTTTAAATAAGGAAAAGATCTAGGTATGTCAGAGACCAGCCTGATCAAGTTCCAGGTCATCCAGTGCTATATAGTAAGATCTTTCTAAACAACAAAATAAAAAGGAGAGAAAAGGGGGTGAAATGTGTTTTTTTTTATGGAAAAGAGTAAGAAAAAGGAGTTATCAAAAAGTTAAAAGAAATTAGAAGATTCAGAAGAGTTTAGGGCTAGTTATGGGAGCTGTCTTAGTTTCTTTTCCTGTTGCAGTGATAAAATACCTTTACAAAAGCAACTTAAGGGAGAAAGTTTTTGTTTGTTTGTTTGTTTTTCTCTCACAGTTCCACATTGCAGTCCATCATGGCGGGGAATTAAAGGTATCATGAGCTAAAGTAGCTGATCATATTATGTGCTCAGTCAGAAGAGGACAATAAATACATGCATGTCCTAGCATGCTCTGCTCACTCTCTTCTACTGTACTCATGCCCAGGGAATGGTGTCACCTGTAGTCCTCAAGTCTTCCCACCTCAGTTAACACAATCAAGACAATCCCCCACAGACATGCCCAAAGGCCCAGCTCCCAGTTGACTGCACTAAGAGTCACAAGAGACAAGAATCAACTAAGAGTCACAAGAGTCAAAGGGCAAGGGCAGTTTATAATAGAAATGTTCGGCAATGTTAAAGACTTCAGAAAAATTACAAGAAATAAACTGAAGACATCTGGACCTGCAGATGAACTGCATTCCCGAGAAGTTCAGCATCAGACTAAGAAGAAGGAAAAGGAATTTGAAGCTTTGTCAAGATTACAGAAACACTTTGGAATAAGGCACAACGTGAAAAAAAGTAGAAAAGAATCTACCCTTTAAATCAAGGCTGACCAGGAGAGGAAAAAAAATGACATGGATAAAACTCATACAGAATGCTTTCATAAAATAGAAGGCCAAATCATCTGGTGAGAGTAAAATAAGTTAATCCCCTCGGAAAGAAAACACTGCGCCCATCATAGTAAAAAGCAGGAAGAGAACTTGAACACATTGGAAAACGATATTTGGAAGACTGAACTCAAGGGCGTTATTTCCTCCAAGTCAGCTTCCAGGACTTTGTAGGATCTCCTTTATGTGGAGTCTTGTCACATTAAATCAGTCTCTTACGTTTGTGACATGGCTGAGCTTTCTTTACCTCTGATATCCTCATTTTCATCTAAGTAATTTCTGCTTATCATTGAAGGCTCAACCTAAATCTTATATCCTTGTCAAACTTCACCAATGAGCTCAATTTGTAGGGCCATTAGTGTTTATTACAGAGAATAAATTATGATGCCAAAGAGTTTTTTGTTGTTGTTGTTTTTACCATGTTGATCCAACCTAAGGATCTTGTGCATATCAGACAAGTGCTCTACCACTGAATAGCATTTTCAGCCCTTGGTTTTTGAGATAGGATCTTACTATGTAGCCCAGACTGATCTTGAACTCATAATCCTCCTGCCTCAACCTCCTAAGTGCTACAGTTACAAGCTTGTACCACTACATCCAGTAAAAACTAATTTTTACTACTTATTTTTAGAGCTACAATTATTTATTTACATGAGGGGCATTTGTGGTATGGTATGCATGTGGTAGTCAGAGGTCAACATGTACGAGTTGGTTCATTCTGGGGGATAAAACTCAGGTCTTTTGGCTTCGTAGCATGCATATTTACCCACAGAGCCATCTCACTGGTCCAGAACTGCTTTTTCAATAGCAATCTTTTGGGCACACAAATCTTTTTGTTTGTTTGTTTGTTTTTTGTTTTTTCGAGACAGGGTTTCTCTGTATAGCCCTGGCTGTCCTGGAACTCACGCTGTAGACCAGGCTGGCCTCGAACTCAGAAATCCACCTGCCTCTGCCTCCCAAGTGCTGGGATTAAAGGTGTGCACCACCACTGCCTGGCGGGCACACAAATCTTTAAACTTATTAATAAGAGACTAAATGGGCCATTTCAGGAATTGACTTTTTCTGTAGATTTATGTGATCTCAAACACATAGATTAGTAGCTTCATTGCATTTGTCTGAGTAGTGAATAGCATCAGACTGACTTCTGGAGATCATTTGGTGCCTGGTGGTGGTAGTTGTTAACATTTGTTGAGCTCTGAGAATGCTCCAGGCAAGTCAACACAAAACAGGAACTCAATAAACAAAATGCAGCTATTGTAGCTGTGTCTATTGTAGCTTCTGGGGATGCATGGAGACCAGTGAAGAACATGGCTCTCAGGACTGAGGTCCCTGAGTGCCTCTGGGACTAGTGTTCTGGGAAGAGGGTCATTTTGGTCAGAGTGGGTCTGAACGCCAACTCAGGGTTTCTAGACTGGTTGGATTTTGTGTTGCGTAACTCTTATGATTATGAAAAGACAGAAAATTCTGGCATCAAATTCCGATCACCCTTCTAACTTAGGGGAAATGGTTGGCAGGGAAGAAAATAAATAATTGCAACACATGATGAAGAATGAGGGCTCGGAGACAAGGAGATTAGGTAAACACTGCTGCTCCAGTCTGTTAATCATCCACTGGGACCGGGAAGACTTTCTTCCTGTCTGTCTTATTCAACCGCCTGACCAGCCACTTGCGTGGGTAGAATGCAAGGATCACCTGCGTGGGTAGACTCCAGGAACTTTTTTGATGGAGCAAGTACTGGCCAGCTTTAGGATAATATGATCAGCTCTCATCTTGGGAGAAACTAGTAGAGTAGAGATCCAGGCACCACCACAGAGTCTTTCTCTGCTGTTGCAGGTCAGTGGGTTACTGAGCACTTGGGTAGGGCGCTGTAGGTAAAGCTGGTCAGTAGGCTCTTCAGTGTGTGCACCTCTGTGTTCTATTTACTGTTTTTGAGATTATAACTTAATTACATTTTCCCATTCCTTTTTCTCCCTCTAAATCCTCCCATACAGCCCTTCTTGGTCTCTTTCAAATATGGCCTCCTTTTTCATTAATTATTATTGCATGCAGATATTCCTAAATACAACCTGTTCAGTCCATATACTGCTACTCATATGTCTGTTTTCAGGACTGATCATTTGGCAGTAGGAAACCAATGGGGGTGGCTCTTACATGGGGAAGATCACATCTCTCACTCCTAGCTTTCCTCAGTCGCCTATAGTTCTTTATGTGGAATCAAAGCCTCACGGGATTCCCCTGTCTAGTTTATATGTTCATTAGTGTCCTTGTTTGGGTCATGTTTGGGAGGTCATGGTTGGTGAGACTTTTTTGATACAGTTTCTAATGTTATTAGGTAACACAATTTCACAGTAAATTCCTTGATCCCCTGGCTCCTACAATCTTTTTGCCACCTCTTTTGTAAAGTTTCCCCTCAGGTGCAAGAGTGTTTTTTTAGATGTAGCCATTAGAACTGGGTCCCATAACTGAATTTTGATTGTGATTTTCTGTGGTGTTCTCTGTTGGAAAGACAAGTTGGGTTTTGTTTTTTTGTTTTTTTGTTTTTTTGGTGTGTGTGTGTGTGTGTTCTGATGTGGGGTGAAGACTGTGTGAGTAAAAGGATAAATGTTTATAGATTCTTGTTAGAGACTATGCTGGTTTAGTAAATTAGAAGTTGTAGATTCTTGCTAATAACTAGGACTTCAGTAACACTGAGTAGTTGATTAGCTAGGTTTACAGTAACAGACATGGTTTCCATCTTGTTGAATGGGTCTTAAATCCAATTAGAGAGTTTCTGATTACTTTCAAACTATGTGTCCTACTACTACACCCTTGAGGTTAGTGTGTCATGTTGGTCATTGATACATTCATAGGCATCATAGCTGGGTAGGACTGTTGGTTGCCTCCCACCTCTTTTTGGAAGCTTGTGTGATGCCTTCTAGTAACATTTAAGTCCTCAGGGAGGGGACATTCAGATCAGGTCTATTTCAGGGGTCTCTAGGTCTTGCTTCTGAAGTGCATGGTATCTTCAGCAATAGAGACATACCTTTCACTGTTAAGGGGTAACTAAGGTCGATAGCAATAGGTTGTATGTCTTAAGAGCCTCTTGGACAGTCCTAGATAAAAGATCAGAAAAAGGGCTTCTTATGTCTGGTATTAGGGGGTTTGTTAGGTGGTCTTTGAGTCTTGGAGGACCTACCATCACTATCAACCCAGATGAGAAGAGTTCGTTAAAACTATATTTATATATTTGTACATAGAACTACATGTATTGTAGAATTTTTAAGGTAAAAAAACTTAAAGAGTTGTGTATGGAAGATGCTATTTCTTTAGAGTGAGCCATCTACCACCTTTGGCTCTTACAGTCTTTCCACCTCTTCTTCTTCAGAGATCCCTGATCCTTGAGGGGAGGGGTTTGATGACGACATCCCATTTAGGATTGAGTGCTCTAAAGTCTCTCACATTCTGCACATTGTCCAGTTTTGGGTGACCACGTTAATTCCAATATAGCAATGTATCATTAGGATTCATTTTATTGCCCTGTTCAGTTAGCAAAATAATGATAATTATAATAGTAATAGTAATAATGATAATAATAATAATGATAATAATAATAATAGGTTTTCTTCTAAGTCGTGGCCTATCTTAGACAATTTAGCAGTACCAGGTATAGATTCCATCTCATGGAATGGGCCTTAAATCCAATAATGAAAAGAGCAATTGTCTCTTCCCATAACATTTGTGTCACTATTGCACCAGGATATCTTGCAGGCAGATCTCTGTTGTGGGTTTAGAATTTGTATCAAGGTGATATTGATGATTATATTTCTCCTCTTATAGTGTGCATATGCTAGTTAGTAAGGGTGAAGCTTCTAATTAGGTACCAGCTTAGTTTCTCCGTTTGACATCATAAGTAATGTTGTATTCAGCAATGGGATCTTACCATCAGGTGGAAAGCAACCAATAGCCGTAGAAACAGCCTGTGATATTTATTTGGTAGCATAAGGTATCTAGTTGAGGCATTGTCTCTCCCATTATATGGTTATTCCATTTGAATTTATTCCATAGATGTATATATTTTAGGAAGAGTCTACAGTAGCAGATTTCTATATAATTTTTCAAATGGCTTTTAATATTAGCTATCACTTCCATATTCTCTTGTTTATTCCACTCTCCCATTACCCTCCCTATTTAACCCTCATATTCCAGTTTCCTCTTTGTAAGACTATGTTGTATAGGCTTTGAACTCATTGGCACAGCAAAGGACTTTCTGAAGAAGACACTAGCAGCACAGGCATTAAGACCAACAATAATGGTACCTCATGAGGCTAGAATGCTTCTGTATGGTAAAGGACACGATTATTTGGGTAAAGCTGCAGCTGCAGAATGAAGAAGAAAACATCCTCTTTTAGGAATCTTCATGAGTTGCACATCTGGTGGAGGATTAGTTTCTAGACTATAGAAAGAATTTAAAAAGAAATGCCCTGAACATCAGGAAAATAAATAACGCAGTTAAAAGGAGGATGCAGAATAAATAGCAAGTTCTCAAAAGATCAAACACAAATAGTTGAGGAATGCGTAAAGAAGTGTCCATCACCTTTAGCCATCAGCCAGATGGAAATCAAACCAACTTTGAAATTTCATCTTACTCTAGTCAGAATGGCCAAGATCAATAAAACAAATGCCAATACATGCTGGAGAGAATGTTGGGAAAGGCGAACACTTATTCAATGGTGGTGCCAGTGCAAACTGATACAGCCATTATGGAAATCAGCATGTCGGGTCCTCAGAAAATTGAAAACCAATCTACCGGAAGATCCAGCTAAACCACCTTTGAGCATACACCCACAGGACTCTACATCCAACTGCAAAGACAATTATTCATCTATGCTCCTTGCTGTTCTATTCATAATAGCCAGAAATTGGAAATAACCTACAGGTCTATCAACTAATGACTGGGTAACGAAAATGTGATTTATTGACACAATGGAATATTAGTCAGCTGTTAAGAAAGAAAGATGACATCATGAAATTCACAGATAAACAGATTAAGCTTTAAAAAAAATCATGCCTAGGGAGATAATTTAGACCCCAAAAGACAAATGTTGTATGTTTTCTCTTATATTTGGACATTAGCTTTTTAAGTCTTCAATACGTATCTACAATCTGAATAATCTTAGGGGTTAGGTATATAGTAAAGAAACCGAGAGAAAGGAGAAGGACTTCTGATTTGCCAAATTGTAATGCTATCTCCTGCTTCCAGCTGACTTGAATTTATTCCCTGGCTTCACAGAACACTGGGCTCTGGTGTAGCCTCCTCTGCAAATTCACTTCCTTTTTCCATGTGGACTGAATTTCTCTTCCTAGAGGTGGCTTTTGCAGAGGTGAGTCCTCACTGTATCATGTTGTAACATCTGTGCTCATGTCTCATCTTCCCACCTAAGCTGTAGTTTTCTTGAAGACGTGGCAGACATAGAATGTATCCTGACGCTCTATAGCAAGTAGATTAAACGATTGTTTTCTAAATTCAGGTTTCCTGGCAGAACAAATGTGGGCAAAGCAGCAGCAGGCCCTGTGCCCCACCAGAACTGCACATGGGAGGCTTCACAGAAACAGAGATGCTGTGGCCTGGCTCTTTTCTACGCTCTGCAGAGTCTCTGGCCCAACTTTGTTCCAAATGACCTTCACTGCTGCTCTTTGGATTGCTGTGTTTGGTGAGTGGTGGACAACCGGTCCAGATGGACAACCAACAGTTACTTACAAGACTTAAAAATATGAGATAGCTAAGTTAGTGGAGATCCAGTTTCATCAGCAAAGGATTTATCTGGCCAGCTGGAGTTAGTGTCACACACAACGGGGCAATTTCTATGTGTTTAATCTAGAATTTCTTATCTAAATCTCCAAGGCAACCTGTTTCCCAACCAGGATTTGAAATAAATCTATATTGTCTAACAGCAATGGAACACATTTAGCAGCCTGGGAGTTAATCTGGAATAGAGAAGTGGAGAGTGTACTTTCACTGGGCTCTTAAATGGTAACTTAGTTGTATATCACCATTCATTTCTAATAGGGAAAGTAGTATTAAGATTTTTATATCTCAAGAATTCTGCTTTCTCTTCTATGTAGCCCAGGCTAGACTTGATTTCACAATCTTTCTTACACACCACCATGTCTGGCTTATTATATCAGTTCAAATGAAACAATACATATCTGTTAAGGCAAATTTATAGGAATTTTTGGTTTTGCATGTATGCACTCTGAGCAGAGATAGATAATGTAGGCTGCTGAAGCTTACATCTGTCTCCTATTTAGAGGTGTTTTATATGGTAGAGAAGAGATTAAAATGTAGCCTTTAACCATCATCATTTATCAACAAACATCATTTGCGCATCTCTCATGGATTCATGACAGAGAAGTAGTTTTTGATTTTCCTTGATAGAGGAGAAAAGAATTGTTCTCTCTCTAAAACCATACTACTGAAGCATTAAGATGCTGTGTCTCAGGGGATAACATTTGGTGTTCCTGTCCCTTTGGTGTCTAGGCAAATGTGGTCCACCACCTGATTTAGCCTATGCCCTGCCTGCAAGTCAGGTGTATCAAGCACACTTCGAAAGTTACACCACCCTGAAATACAATTGTCGCCCTGGCTATAGTAGGGCAACCTCAAGCCAGACTATTTCCTGTAGACCTTCGGGGGAATGGCAGATTGATATCTCCTGTGTCAGTAAGTACCGATGTTTATTTTTCTGACTTGTGCAATTGTCAGTTTTGAAGAGTTGTCTCAGGTTATATAATTACTGAATTTTTAAGTCACTAAGGAACTAGTGAATTAATCAACTAGCAATTTTAATATATACAAGTGTGGATATTCTGGAAAGCAGAAAAAAAGAAAGCAGAAATTAAGACATGTGCTAATTGCAATGAAGAAAGATAAATTGTACTGGGTAGTTTTATGTCAACAAGCCAGAGTTGTCAAAGAGGGGAGAGCCTCAGTTGAAAAAATGCCTCCATAGATCTGGCTGTAGGCAAGTCTGTGGGCTATTTTCCTAATTTGTGACTTATGGGGGAGAGCCCAGCTCATTGTGGGTGGTGCCACCCCTGGGCTGATTGTTCTGGATTCTATAAGAAAGGGGATGAGCTAAGGTTGATTCCTGGAACCAATGTAAAGGTGGAAGGAGAGAATTGACTTCCAGAGTTGTTCTCTGACCTCCACATGCATGCTGTTGCATGTGCATGACTGCACCTCAACCCCTAAACAATAATAATGACAACAACAATAGTAAAAATAGTAATGATAATAATAATTATAAAAATACCTTAGGATTAAATAGTCAGAAAGTAGCAATTTTACCTCAAACGCATGGTGAATGTTTGTTTTTATATGCAGAATCTAGATTTTAAAATACATGTATATATATCTATGCATCCATACATTATTGCATGTATGTACACATAATACCAACCTACACAGTGCATGCATACATACATACATACATACATACATTGGGTAAAGGACAATGACAACAATGGCTGGTAAATATGATAAAATACAATGCTATTCATATATGAAAGTGCCATAATGAAACTCATTATTTTGTATACTAATTCAAAAATTAAGTAAAGTGGTGCACAAAACAAAATATTTCATGGATTTGGAAGAGCAGATAATTCACTATGAGCAGGGAATACATACATTCTGTCCCCAACAGTAACAGTAACAGCATATAATCTCTGCCTCCCCCTCTCTCCCTCCCTCCCTCCTTCTCTCTGTCTCTGTCCCTCCCTCCTGTCTCTGTCCCTCCCTCCTGTCTCCCCCCCTTCCCCCCTTCCTCCTCCCTCTTCCCCTCCCTCTGCCTCTCCCCTCCCCCTCCCCCTCCCCCTCTCATAATCAAGGAAATGGTTCTTGCTAAAATACACCAGAATGAAAATGAAGAAATCAAAATTTGTGTTTATTTTCCCTCCAGAACAAAAATTCAGTGAGTCAGACTCAGATAAATGTGACTCTAAACAAGTAGTTCTTTCTGGATGTGGAGGTGGTCATAGACTTGTTAGTTTCTAATTGCAGTGCTTGTGGGTGGTGGGCATCACTTACCATCATTTTGATTTTTCTCTAGAAAAATTGTGCAGGAATCCAGGAGAGTTACAAAATGGACATGTGCAAGTTAAGACAGATTTCTCTTTTGGATCACAGATAGAATTCAGCTGCTTAGAAGGGTAAGTGTGAGGTATTTTATAAATAATTCTTCTAATAGAGGTGGGGTGGGGGCTTTCCCAAAGGAGATCCACCATCTTAGAGTAGTAGAGGATAAGGGGTTAAGGGATTCTGTAGGAGGGACTCTGTGACATGAGGGCTGGGGGTGGGGAGCAATTGGGATGTAAAAGCTAACTAAATATATACAATTTAAAAATAAAAATAAACAATTCATCCAAATTAACTTTAAAATAGCTACTTTCAAATTTTGAAGTGACATCAAGAGTACATATTGAGAATTCTCACTTCCATCCCATCTCTGTGTGCCCTATTCTTTCCTGTGCTAAAAAAGAATTTATCTTTTTTCAGTTTCTTTGTATCATTGTAGTGTTTCCTCATTCAAATACAAGCCAAGAGATCAGCAAATGTTTCTGATAATGCATTTAGTTCATTTTTAAACTATTCAAATGATCTAATTATATATATGTATATATATATAATATATTCATATTATGTACATATGAATGACAGAGTCTCATTATGTAGCCATTACTGGTCTAGAACTCCCTATATAGACCAGGCTAGCCTGAAATTAACAGAGATCCACCTGCCTCTGCCTCCTAAGTATTAGGATTAAAGGTTTGCATCATTAAACCAAGCTGGGTTTAGTTTTTTATACTCTAATTTATTCTTGAGAATTGCACACATGTATTGTGAGAATGTCATACATGCAAACAATGAAATAGGAATACATCCCTATTTCCCCTTCTAATTTCCCTATATTCCCCACAACATGTCCTCCTCTCCCAACTTTGTGTTTTTATTTGTTTGCTTGCTTTTTTTCCAATTCACTAAGTGTGTTAGTGCCACCCATACGTGCCATTAACTGAAGCATGCGAGTGGCCATACCCTCGAAAAAGAATGGGAAAAATGTACTTTTGAATCACACTTGACTTTTATACTCATCAGTAAATCTTGTACATATTTTATGCTTGTATGTAGAGAGGTTCTTCATTAATTACCTCTTACAACTGCAGAAAACTTTACTGTATGGTTGTGTCATGGCTTAACTCTTTGGACTGATTGATGTCTATTTCCAATCTTTTGCTCTTTTGAACAATGTTCTGATGCCTTTGTAAAAATGTAGTTACAAACTACTATTGTGCATAAGTGATCCAATTGTCCCTTGATAGCCAGTATTAGCCATGCTGGCCTTCAGAATGACCTCCTTTTTTACTCTCATGAGTGGGCTTTCAAATTTATCTGACACACTGATATGTAAGGGGGAATGTACCCAGTTAAACTTAATAAATCACAAAACAAAAAGATACAAGTGGAACTTGCAGGGAGAAGGGTGAGTGATAGGGGTAGGAAGGAGTGAAAGAGAACAGAGATGACACCAATCATAATGTATTATAAATAAGTATGGAAGTGTCAGATATCTTGTGGATACTGCAGCTGATTTTTTTTCCTGGTGGATGATGAATGTTGAATCTAATCTACAGAGAATGTTGAAGCTAATCTCAATTTTCTTCTCTTATATATAACTTGTTTGGATGTCTGAAGGTAGTATTATAGTATTCTTTATGTGTGAAATCCAAGGTTTACCCACAGTTGTTTTTTTTTATTATTATTATTATTTGAGACAAGATCTTATTAAGTGGCTCAGGCTGCTGTCAGACACAAAAGCCTCCAGTTTAATTCTCCCAAGTTTCTGGGATTATATGTGAAGACCTCTAGACCTAGCCTTTACTGTCTTAAAAAAGTTAACTTTATGTATGTGTGGTGTATGGATGTAATGTGTCTATGTATGCATGGACATAGGTGCGTACATGCCATTGTGCACACACAGAAGTGAAGATATTTTGCAGGAGTCCATTCACTACTTCCACAGTGTGAGTCCCTGGGATCAAACTCAGGTTGTCAGAACTGGCAGCAAGTGCTATGTGGCTAGCCCTTTTTAACTTTTCTCTCTCTCTCTCTCTCTCTCTCTCTCTCTCTCTCTCTCTCTCTCT